GATTCAGATGCTAGATTGGTCGGCAGGCCTCGGAAGGGATACCTCTCTGCTGTACTGTAACAGGGGTTTGCTCAGGTTGAAGGCAGTGAGGGGATGGACGAGAGATACCGCGAAGGATGACGAATGGTCCTGGAGCACTCCCAGTGCCTCCTCTACAGTAACAAGACGACTCAAAATAGCAGACTACACCCTCAAACTACGCTACAATCTGTTCTGCACACCCATTACGATTTTGACCATCGTACAAAAAAGATGGCAAAAAGGGGAAGACTCTCTTGCTAACGTGACCAGTCTAACGTGACCTTCAAACCCTCTTGGTCATCAACATTCTCCTGCTAGCGTGACCTTCAAACCCTCTTGGTCATCAATATTCTGCGCTAGACCATTCAAACTGGCAAGTCTTCTTTGGCTCATAACTTACAGAGCAATCCCAGTGAACCCTTGGCTAGCGCAAAGACGAAGGAAGGAAGACAGATCAGAACTACTGCTTCTTGGATGTGAGAAAGCTCAAATTCTTTGGAACGAGGTTGAACCAACTTGGAGCAAGTGCTCATGCAAAACAGTACAAATCAACCATGGCGCTCTATTCCTAGAACCCCCCCATCCCCCCCCTTCGTCAAAGGTTTTGACCTATTCTTCCTCTCACTGATTAGAAAAAAGCGACTCTTTGGGCGATCTGGAGACACAGATGCGGCCAGACCTTCGACGACTGCCTCACTAGCCCTGAAAATCCTCTTGTGATTATCAACTAACTAACTCAGTTGGTTGAGCATGTAAGTGGCACTCAGGAGGTCGTGTGTTTGATACCCAACATCGCCCTTTCACCCCCTGTGGCCTCCTGGGGGATGCTTCGGGCTCACCAGCGGAGATTGTTGGCTCTGGCCTCCTGGCTGTTGTCTTTCTAGCTCGTGCCAGGTCTTAGGAGCGTGGGTACTGCTCCTCGCACGGAGCAGAGATAGGTAGACATAGACCCATAACCTTAGGATAGCTTAGTTTTGGGTAGTAAATTTAAGGTAGTCTTAGACCCTAGCCCTATAGCCTAAGCTCCGGTCTCGAGGTGTAGAAACGGGATTGTGGTCGTACTAGTGCAAAAGAAGACGATATCGGTCTCCATGCTACATACATGAGTGGATAATGTAGGGTAGGTAGGTAGGTAGGTAGGTAGTGTGAGGTAGACACAATATTGAGAGAAGAAAAGAGGGTAGCATACGAGGTGAAGATAGCTGTCTTTTATGTGACAATATATATATGAAACATGCTCGAACAAAAAGCTTGAGGTTATCAAAAGATTCACCACATTGAAACTTGGAGGGGGGTGTCTAGGCAGGATAGAAGAGGGGAGAGGAGTGGAGTGGTAAAAAATGATAAGACCTTACAGGTATGCAGTGTCTGATAGCTGTTAGCATAGACAGCCTCCCAGTGAATAAATGGCTCCACGAACAGTCCGGACAGTCTCGACTGAAGGCTTGTATAATCCATGATCGATCCATGATCGGCTTAGGGCTTAGGCCTTTAGCAAGGCCGACTGCTCTAGTTGTACAAGTAAATCTGACAGCCCAACAGCTGAGAGGAGCAAGTACGGGTCAGGGCCACTAGGGCTTAGAGCTTTGCCAAGAATGCTAGCAAGTAGCCTAGATAGAAGCTCCACTTCCTTTGGGAAGGAGCCAGAATTTGAAAGTTCTGTCTTTTTTTTCTTTTTCTGTTTTTTTTAGGCTCTGATGTCGCAGGCAATAAAAAAGGTCCAGAAAAGGCAACATTTCAGCAACAAATCCCTTAGAAAATTGCTATCGCTTTGCCCAGGGCAAACTCTTTATGTACGTAGTATGACAGCGATCCTCAGGTCCGACCAGGAACCCAACCCAGCGTTGGCATTGGACTGGAGTCGCTGGACATGTCCACAATTCTGCCTTCCTAGAAGTTGGGCATTTTGACAAATTGTCGATGTGCTCAAATTCCTTGTAATATGGGAGCTCCTTCACAGTTTTCTCAGAAAGGAAAAAGTGTAGCTTCAAACATTACTGTATCGATCTGGATTTGATCAGGATTTTGGACTTGTATTTTGCTTATTATCAATCGATATGCGTGTACCATTCAGCCACATGATGCTGTCTTACTGGAAGTAGGGCATTTTGACAGATTGGCCATGTTGTAGTGAACCGAGTTTCATGAGAAGCCAGCCAGTGTCGTGATAAGTCTGAACCCAGCGGTTATAGTAATGTCTCCAAAATATATTATATGTCCATGCCCAGCATATGTGCACTTTCCAAGAGCATCACAACTTAAGAGAAGAGAATGAGGTAGTGGGGAGAAGAGACAGAGAGGAGGGGAAGAAGAGTCTCAGTAATATACTCGATATAATGCATAAATCCTCTTCTTGCCCGCTTCCTCCTCGGGCATTACTCCCCCTGTCGTCACCTCAACAATGCATTCTCTCTCTGACGTTCTCTGACAGCTTCAGTGCGCAGGTCACAGCAGGGCGCCCATTCTCCTTCCACTGCGCAGCCAATTAGGGAGGATGGCGCAGATCTTCCTGACCTTCGTGGAGACGAGCAGCAGATCACACACGATGTCACCAGGTAAGTCCAGGTAAGCTTCCCCTCAAACCCTCTCCAGTCTCACAGCCTTGATCCTCCCCCTCCTTGCCGAACCTCAACACTGATGTCTATAGCTATGGCGGCAATGGCCGCTCTAACGTAATCTCCTCGGATGCTGGCGCCCTCCCAACAGCTCTAGCGCCAGCATAAACTCCAGCAACCTCGCAATACCTTACTAGCATCAAGCCAGCGCAAGGCACAATGCCTTCCCCTATGGCGGCAATGGCCGCTCCAACATAATCTCCTTGGATGCTGGCGCCCTTCCAGCTTAAACTCCAGCAACCTCGCAGTACCGTACAAGCATCAAGCCAGTGCAAGGCAAAATGCCTTCCCCAGTGTCTGGCCGTTCTTTTGTAACATTGGCCAATGTGGACTGGCGTGGGCCAGTCTTCCCTTTGTCGGTATCGACGCTTCAGATTTGCTCACTTTCGACGGTCTGGATGCAGCATCTCAGCTTCCGGATACCTGCGGACAACCAATGATGTGCATGTGATTGACAGCCCTGGGCTGGCCAACGGGCGGACTTTAACTTTGGGCCTCGAATCCTATGCTGGGGTTGACTCTTTGATTTTCAAAGAGTCAACTGCAGAGTCGTGCAGACCACATTCATATGCAACAACTATCTTAGGGGCAGTAGGTAATACTTCTTTCTTGCTAAACCGTTTTGCTTCAGATTTCTGTGGCCTTCCTCTTCCACCGGTAGAGAAGCCATGTTCGAGAATCTTTTCGACCTGATACCGATGTTCGAGAACCTTTTCGACCTGATACCGTCCGAATTGAAGGTGGAAACATTAATGGTCTGTTAGGAAAATCCCGATCTTCAACGTAGGGATCTTCAACGTAGGGTAAGAATTTTGATGCATGGAAAACAGGATATGTCCTTGAGTATGGGAGCACATCTATTCGATAGGATGGTCTGTTAGCGTCCCCAACCACTTTCAGAATTTCCCCCTGTAGTAGACAGGTAGCAGTTTCTGTGAAATTCCTTCTTCCAACTAGAATTGATTAGAATTAACACAAGATTGGGATTTCTCACATTTATCAAACAGCTCTTCATTATGTAGACACACCCGACACTACGAATGGTTGAAATTGATTAAGAGTGATATAGTCGGTCGGTTTTGCAGACAAGTGAAATCTTTTTGAATCGAACTTCCAACATTTACTGAATGCATCTACGGAAAAGGGTTTTCCTAGATGATTAATTGACTTGGCTAAGATGGTTATATGCCATTCGTGGATTTGTGTGCGGCTTGCATTTTGGATGTTAGACGAAAGCCTTCCATAGCCCCAACTTGGGCATGAAATGGTAAGTCTGAAGTTCGCATCAACGAAGTGAGCTGGTCTGCGAACATAATCTTCCAGTATTGACTTTTGGAAGCGTCTGAGGAGTCTTTTGAAAAGGAGGGGGACACAATTGCCTCCATTGCGGACAGAAAAAATAGCTGGGGCTTGTGGAATTCGTTGGAAGACTTTTTTGGAAATTGGTTAACTTTGGGAAATCATGTCGTTAATCTTTATGAACTTTGTAATGCAATTGAGCACTCTGGCCCGCTTTCTAAAGTCAGGGCCGACACATGTTTTCGCAAAAGCTGGCCCGTCCTCGCAATCAAAGAAAGGGAATTATGACCTTGTTTAGAATGTTGTATCTTGGTGCTTGTCTGATTTATGTGAAAGTATTTTATCTGTGAGTTCAGGGATTCTGAAGGCAAATAAATGCTTTGGCCAAGATCATGCATGGTGTGATCAAGGACGTAGTGCTTACTACCGTAGTTTTTTATGTCTATAGTTAGACGTTTTTTGCGAAGGATGGTAAATACAGTAATGCAAAGTAATTGACCTTACCACGTTCAAATTATATTCTCTTTTCTAAGTTTTCTCGTTTTTTTTTTGTCCGACGTGTTCTGCCTGGTGTCGGGTCGAGTTTTCTCGTTTTTTTTTTTGTCCGACGTGTTCTGCCTGGTGTCGGGTCGGTGTTCTCGTGACCAGATTGGATGCTTGCAATATGATTATATGACCTATTAGATGCTACCTGTCCTTCCACTTACATTTTGCATATGAGATATTTTATCGTATTTATCACGTCAAGCAACATTGTGTTCTGCTATTTATGGGAGCTAAAACGTAGTTCAATTGAACGTAATTGGAACTTCCATCACCTGTTTACAGTGTTTAATTTCATGCTGCTCGTGCTGCTTGTGCATGGTTAATGTTTCGAGTTGGGGTAAGCTCATTGCAGTACTAGATTTGTGGATCTACTTTTCTTTTTTTTTGGTTTTTGAATGTGTAAGAGAAGATGATTTGAATTTATTTCATGATATGATATCATTTCTGTGCTGTGCATGCTTGGTAGTGACAATTTACTGTTGTTATGTTTTGTACTGTTACTGCCGCGAATATTTGCAGGTCCTGATTGCGTCTCGTGGACCATTCAATCGCTTTGTGATGGCACACTGGCCGTCAATTTCAGGAAATGCCAACTTCGAGGTAAACTGATGCTATTTGTGTTCCTTTCATACTGTTTTTCAGTTTTTCGGAACTTTTTCCCATTTTCCATCCACTCTCTTGCAACTCTCTGCTAGATGTTGTTATCTATTTGTATGCATCGTCGGAGGAAGGGATTGAGGCGGGGAGTGTTCATTCAAGGTTCGGCTATGGAAGATACTTACCTGAGTTGGATGTGATCTGCAGAGGTGGCGCTGATGAGTAGTGTCCACATTGATGACTTGGAGAGTATCTGCAGGAGTAGCGCTGATTCAGTGGAAGTCATATTGATGAGTTGACAAGAGATTGGTGTTGCGCTGATGAGCGCTGGACTCAGGGGAAATTTGAAACACTTTGTATTCATATTTCTGATAATATAAGCTGTGAAACTCGGTCCTCTTCTCATCTATTTGTCTATGACTTGAGACTATTGATCATGGTGTGTGAGGATGATGCATGACATGTACACACTTGCATGAAAGGGTTCCCAGGATCCATGCAAATTTGGTATCGGAGCAGATGCTCGCTACTCTCATAGCGCTGGTCTGATCCAGGCCGGCGAGAAGAAGTGGTGATGAAGGAATAGCGAAGGAGGGAGGAGGAGAAGAAGAGTGTTGATAGTGGGGGAAGCAGGCCGAAGAAGAAGTGGCAAAGTCTACTTACCTCGAGCGTGCGGAGCGTCGTAGAGCACCATCGGCGGTATCTTCAAGAAGAGAGAAGCACCTCCTTTTCCCTGAACCTGCATGCATGTGTGTGTCCCCTACCTTCTCTCTCTCCGACCCTCTGAAGGTGACTGCTGCTGATCTGGTCAGGAGTCGAAGTCTTGATTTGGGGTGTCATAGGTGTCAGGTCTGAGCCGTCAGAGTCTGATGACCCAAGGGTGATGTGTCAGGGACTGGTCTCACTAAAGTAGGTGGTCCAGCATTTCGCGAATAGGAGTAGGTCTATCTCCTATCCCTCTTGATAGGCAGGCTGGGTATCATCATCAAGAACCAGGGATCGATGTGGGAAGTGGCTATGTGCCACGTCAGATAGCATGTACCAGGCAGCATAAGATGATATTTTGATTTTTAGTAAATGTGAAAAGGAACACGCTGAGCACCTTCGACTTGTGCTAAATAACCTACAAGAAGCAAAACTCAAGATAAACCCAAAAAAGTGTGAATGGGCTAAGCGTTAGGCTCTATACCTAGGACATGTGATTGATGGAGATGGGGTCAAACCGGAAGATGCCAAAATAGCAGCAATCAGAGATTGGTCGAACCCCCGCACCTTGACTGAGTTGCGGTCGTTCCTTGGGTTAGCCAACTACTATCGCAAGTTCGTAAGGCACTTTACGATAATAGCTGCTCCCGTTCGCCTGTTACTTAAGAAAGAAGTAATTTGGAAGTGGGATTCAGACTGCACTATGTCTTTCAAGCGTATGAAGAAGTGTTTGATCAACTACCCGGTTTTGAAAGTGGCGGACCCTTCATTACCTTTCGTGGTCACGATCGACGCTAGTCAATATGGTATAGGTGTTGTACTCCAGCAAGACGATGGGCATGCATACATGCCTGTGGAGTTTATGTCTTGCCGGTTACCTAATGAAAGTGGCCTCCTCGACGTATGAAAGAGAATTGTATGCTCTTTGTGAGGCTCTCAATCATTGGTTATATCTTCTGGGGAGACATTTTAAAGTATACTCCGACCATGAAACGCTTCGCTGGCTCAAAACGCAGGCGCGAATGACACCTAAGTTGACAAGGTGGGCTGCGGAAAGTGATATGTTTGATTTTGAGTTGAAGCCAGTAAAGGGTAAATATAACGTTGTTGCTGATGATTAAGTCGTAGATCAGACTTTTTCGGTGCTATTGTGACAGGAGAAGATTAGGAGTACGTATTCCTCTGATCCTGTTTATGGAACCATGATTAAGCTAGTGCAAGAAAAGCCAGCAGAGTTTTCCGATCATAAAGTAACTCAGGGTCTATTGTTTGAACAAATTGATGTGAATGATAGGTTGTGCATACCCAATAATGAAGAGATCAAAAGCATGATCCTGGGGGAATGCCATGATACAGGAGGCCATTTTGGGTGGAAGAAGACCTATGGGACCTTGTTGCGTTCCTACACCTGGCCTCGAATGAAAGCAGATTGTATCGCCTTTGTAAGGTTGTCAAGTATGCCAACGGAATAAAAGCACCACGCAATCGCCCCTTGGGCTACTTAAGCCCGCTTATCCCTACAGGCCCTGGAGACTCTGTCTCTATAGATTTCATGGATACTAAAGTCAAAAGCAGGAATGGGAAAACGCAAGTAATGGTCATAGTGGATAGATTCACTAAGAATGCTGTTTTTGTAGCTTTGCCTGCGGAAGCAAAGACTGATTGGGTAATTCGAGAATTTTTTAACCATTGGGTAAAAGACTTTGGACATCCCTTAACTATTGTGAGTGGCAGAGATACTAGGTTCACGAGTGAACAATGGCAGCAACTGATGAATGTATATGGCTCTAAGTTGACTATGTCATCAGGCAGACATCCTGAGACTAATGGCCAGACTGAGCAGATGWACAAGATTTTGCAGCAAACTTTACGCATGTACATCCGTCCCGATCAGATTGACTGGGATGAACATYTGCCTAAAGTTGCTAGTGCCTATAATAACTCTGTACASTTRTMTACGTGTAAGACTCCTATGGAGTTACATTTGGGATGGCGTCCACGTAGACCCATTGATCAATTGAACCCGGATCAAGTACATAAGCTTCCTATAGGGGCTAGTGAATTTGCAGTCCAATATCGGAAAGACATTGAGAAAGTAAAAGAAAATATACTCAAAGCACAAGATCAGATGATTGAACAAGCAAATAAACACAGACGCCCGTCTCAATTTGTTGTAGGAGATTTGGTTTGGGTGAAGTCTAAAGAGTTTGCTCCTGAAGAAAACATCTCTCAGAAGCTTCTACCCACCTACAGAAGACCTTGGCAGGTTTTAGATGTAATTGGAGATGTGGATGGTCCTTCTTATGTCATTGAGATTCGTCCACATCTACGTACGTATCCAGTGTTCCATGCATCCAAGCTCTTACCTTGTGTAACGAATGAGCCTCTCAAGTCGCCGATCAGCGATACCTCCGAGTATGGATGGGAAGTATGACGTGGATAAAATTGTTGCAGAAAGTACTTACCACACTGGACGTAGAGGCAGACCACAACGACAATATAAGGTGAGGTTTGCATTTCAGGATCCTAGTGAGGATCGCTGGTTTACAAGAGAAGAACTATTAGAATCTGCACCTCATATTGTATCTGCGTACGGAAGCGCCAAAAGAGGGATTCATATCCTTGATAGGTAAATGATTCTCAGAGGACTCCGAATTTAGGCCGGCGAGAGTAAAAGGGCCTTTACCCGAAATAGGCCTCAGGCCTTGTATAAGTAACGCAGCACAGACCTTGTAAAAGTAAAGCATTGTGAAAAGGTATCTCGCCAGGGCTCAGAAACGTGAAACCAGGTCAAAAGTCAAGTTCTCTACCAACAGGCACATCTAAATCTAAGGCCAAGGGCATTGTCAAAAGACTTACCTGTTCACCAGGAGTTGTGTGTGTCATGTCTGTTCGGGTAAGAATGTGTCTGTACGTGCAGGCAGTGTACCTGTTCGTGCAAAGGAAAGTGTCTGTTCAAGCAGTGAATGTGTCTGTTCGTTAGAGTTGTGCCTGTCCGAAAGTAAAGTCAATAGGCACAGTTCCAGTTTTGGTCTAAGTCAAGGGGTCAGTCCAGATCCAGACTTTCAAGTCCAAATCCTGGCCAAGAGGCCTYAGCAGCAGTTGAACTTCATTGGGACTATACTGGGACAYATGCAATGCAGGGTCTGGGACAAAGGACRGGCCGAATTGAGCCAATGCAGACCCAGCGAGGAGTGGCCAGCACTATAAAGGAAGCTGCCTGCCTCATTCCTCGCCAGATCTCCACTGGCTGCAATGCGTGGAAGTGCTGGTGCACTTGTGCGCTGAGTCAGGAGGAGCAGCGCTGGAGGTAGAAGATGCGCTGAAGGAGGGAGGAAGAAGCCTGTACGCTGGAAGTGATGCAGCCATAGCTGCCCAGCGAGTTAGTATTAGTAGTAGTGGGTTAGCATGTAGCTATGAGTAGTATTCAGAGTAGATCCTCATGAGTGAAGAGTGTGTATGCATCGTAGGAGGAAGGGACTGAGGCGGGGAGTGTTCATTCAAGGTTCGGCTATGGAAGATACTTACCTGAGTTGGATGTGACCTGCAGAGGTTGCACTGATGAGTAGTGTCCACATTGATGACTTGGAGAGTATCTGCAGGAGTAGCGCTGATTCAGTGGAAGTCATATTGATGAGTTGACAAGAGATTGGNATTGGTGTTGCGCTGATGAGCGCTGGACTCAGGGTAACTTTGAAACACTGTGTATTCATATTTCTGATAATATAAGCTGTGAAACTCGGTCCTCTTCTCATCTACCTTTGTCTATGACTTGAGACTATTGATCGTGGTGTGTGAGGATGATGCATGACATGTACACACTTGCGTGAAAGGGTCCCCAGGACCCATGCATATTGCTGTAATGATATGAATTAAACCACCACTCCAAATCCCCTGTCAGTGTACCCTTTTTTCTCAGACCGATTCCTGCAGCAAAATCTTCAGTGATCAGGCATGGGGGAGGTGCGGTGGGTGTAGGCTGGTGGGCCCACAATGAAAAGACTGAGCCACTGTGCGATGTTGCAATCATCACACCGAGGAAAAGGGCCTCGCTCCAGTACACAACACTCTCGGGACCTGTAGATTCAAAATTGAGGACTAGTGTGAATGCACGTTTTCTAGAAAACGTACAGATACATGTAGGGCTTTCTGTTTCCTTTTCATGTTCTTTCTCTCCCGGAATAACCGTCCTGCCAGCTCAGCAGGGCAGACTGCGAAAGTGCCAAGGGACCTTACCTCAGATTGTGCACCGATGACCTGATGAAATCCAGAACTAAGTTTGAATCCAGATGCGATAA